CAACCCAAACCATTCTGTGATTCTATGTTGAGGTGAAACTTGTGCTTTAGTTTCTGGCCATTGCTCCTCATCCTGTCGCTGGGCACCACTGAGAAGAGTCTGGCACCATCCTCCTGGCACCCGCCTTTGAGCTGTTGATCTGCATTGATGAGATCCCCCCTCGGGCTGCTCTTCTCTGACCAACCAGGCCCAGCTCCCGCAATCTCTCCTCATCAGAGAGATGCTCCAGACCTCTCATTATCGCTGTGGCCTCCACTGGACCCTCTCCAGCAGCTCCTTGTCTCTTGTCCTGAGGAGCCCAGCACTGGACACAGTCCAGTAAGGGCTACTAGGTTTCAAGGCAGTATTCTTCAGATGGAGGAGCCCACTTTGCTGGTTGTCTTGCCCTTGCACACCTTCCCCACCCTCTGCACATGTCAGAGACACACAGAGCCACCCCTCCTGTGGAGCTCGGTCCCAGCACACCTACCATTCCCTTCCTGCGGGCACAGCTCACACGGGTCTCCCCAGCCTTCTCCTGGCATCTTGCTGCAGCAACAGCGAGCCTTGGTGGTGTTGAAGGCCTTGGGAACAGAGCACTTCCCGTTGTCAAAGCGAGTGAAGCAGAAGCTCTGGCGAGTATCTGTGAGAGGATGGGTTATGCACAGCTCATTGCAGACATCCTCCCTTCCCACCAGGATGAGCTGCACTCACCAAAGCACCGCCGGCCATTGTCAGACAGCACAAAGCCTGGAGGACACACGCACTGGAAGCTGCCAGGGGTATTGGTGCACGTCCCAAAAAGGCAGATGTTGGGCTCCTCTTCACACTCGTTGATATCTGGGAGCATCGGGGACATACAGAGCAGCCAAAGGTGACTCCTTTCATCATTGCATTAAAACCAGCTGTGAATATGTGATGTGTGGGGAGCTCTGATGCCTGCAGGACATCACCCCAGCCCTGACCCTTAACCCTCCCTCAGGGCATATGGGGCAATGAAGAGGACAGGGCACAGCAAAACTATCAAGCCTCTTCTGTCATTGAGGCAGGTCTTGCCTTGCTCTGCGTCCAGTTGCTTTCAAGAAGATATTTGGGGGTGGTGATGCCCCAGCCTGCTCAGGAAGAACAAGGTTGTTCTGGGAATAGTCTAAGGTCACTCCTTAGTGACATGGATTAGTGGTAGACTTGGCAGTCCTGGGGTCAAGGTTGGACTTGGTGATCTTAAAGGGCTTTTCCAACCTGGTTGATTCTATGAAGCAGATGACCATATGCTGTGCTGGAAAGGGAGGAAGCACAGAGCCAACATTACCAATGCAGTTGTCGTTCTGGACCTCGTAGCCAGGAGGGCAGATACAGCGGAAGGAGCCCTCCAGGTTCTGGCAGGTACCCGGGGAGCAGGTCCCAGGCAGGCTCACACACTCATTGATATCTGTAGAGAGGAAACCACCAGTGATAGCATCTGTGCTCAGCACGGAGGATCTGGCGCAGGGTACACTCCTGCCCTACATGCAGCTGCATCCTTCTCTTCCCAAAACATGGAGAGGAAACAGATAAGACGTTTTCCAGGATGCTCTGCCTCGTGCACCCTGGGAACACAGACTGAGTCCTGAAGGAGGCAGAGTGGTGGGTGCACGTAACCAATGTGCCTGTCTGTCCCCACAGCCCATGACTCCAGGGCAGTTCCCAAGGCATCCCTTGGTACAGGGGCATGGATAGGACAACATTTCTCCTCACTGCCCGCAAGTCTCAGCACATAGAAAGGGACTGTCTTGACTGTTCCCTGCATTGCTGGAAGGGAGATGCAGGCATAGTGAGGCCCAGCCCAGCTTTTCATGGGCAGTCAAACGACCAGGCTTTAGGTCTGGAGGACTTGAAGCCTTGTGAGTGGTTCTGGAGTTCTCACTTGCCTCTGATGGGACCATCTTGGGGACCACATCTATAGCACTGCACAGTGCTAGCCACGCCAACATGCAGCTTAACCCCCAGAGAAGGGCCAGCCTGCTGCCTGGACACTCACCTACACAGTTCTTCCCATCAGGAGTCCGGTCATACCCCTCTTGGCATAGGCACTGGAAGGAGCCGATGCTGTTGATGCACTGGCCATTCCGACACACCTGCCCCACCAGGGATGAACACTCATCAATGTCTGTGGGAGGGAAATGATAAGCACAATGGGAAGAGAGGTGCACATCCTGTGAGTGTCAATGTACCACCTTCGCCAGCCCTATGCCTCTCACACATACAACTACCCCTACAGTCACTGCCAGGTGACACCCAGAGCTGTTCCCTGTATGTGACACCTCACGCCCCACAGGCGTTGCCACGCTGACCCCAGTTGGCAATCCATGCAGTCAGGATATCATGCAGCTCACCCATGCAGTCGTTGTTGTGTGTTAGCTCGAAGCCAGGGAAGCAGAGGCAGTTGTAGGAGCCAACTGTGTTCTTGCAGGTCCCATTTCCACAGGGCTGTCGGTCACACTCATCAATATCTGTAGAGAGAAGGTCACAGCTGAGTCAGGGGCTGAGTGAGCTGCGAGCCACTGTCTTGGGTGTGTGGACAGGGTCCAGGCAGCTGCACAACACCCCTGTGGCTCTCAGGGGCAGCCTGGGATCTAGAGGACACCGTGGTCCTTGGCACTACCCAGCGGGTGCTGGATGGAGCTCACATCCATCCCGATACATGATTCCCAGCAGGGCTGTGGCAGCCACACTGACCCATGCACATGGTCTGCTCCCCCGTGGCCTTGAAGCCGTTGTGGCAGATGCAGACGTAGCTGCCCTCGGTGTCCACACAGTCCCCGTGGCTGCAGACATTGGGGATCTCCTGGCATTCGTTGCGACCTAAAACAAAGCAAAATGGGCACTAGTGAGCAGAAGGGATGGACCAGTTGGGACGAGCTGACACACTGGTGGGCAGTGTGTCTGTGAGAAGCAGCACAGCAGAACGGGGTCTCTGTTCCCTAAGAGGTGGCTTCACAGAGAATGAGATTTGTGCACCACAATCTCTAAAAACACAAGTATACATTTAATTGGAGAAAATGGCCTGAGCAGCCAGACTAAAGCTGCAGTTCACAGAGACCTTTCCTCATCCCTCAGCAGCCCACTATCCCTGGGAATTTTTTCCAGAAATAAAGGTATGTCATAATCTTTACTGTTCTTTACTGTGAGGATGGTGACACCCTGGGACAGGCTGCCCACAGTAGTGGTGAATGCCCCATCCCTGGCAGTGTTCAAGGCCAGGTTGGACAGAGCCTTGGGCAACATGGTCTAGTGTGAGGTGTCTTTCCATAGCAGGGAGTTTTGAACTAGATGATCTTAAGGTCCTTTCCAACTCAAACTCTTCTATGACTCTATGATAATCACTGCACAGCCAGGTCGTAGTCAACAGGCTTGACAAATGACCAGGAACCCGTACATGAGACTGGCACATCCTTCATCCTGTCCATTGGACATGGAAAGTCCTTCCTCTGGTCCACACGTGGGGGTCTCTAAAGCCACCTGAAGAGCCTAGGCAGGGGTGTCAGCACCTCGCACATGTGTCTCTGGATGGAATAGGTAGCAAAGAGCTCCCATCTTACCCACGCAGGCTCCACTAGGCGACAGCTTGTATCCGGTTGAGCATTCGCACCTGTAACTGCCCGGGATGTTGATGCAGTCGGCGTTGCGCTGGCAGAGGTTCTCCCCACTGCTGCACTCGTCGATGTCTGCGGGAGGAGAGCAGTGCAAACCTGGGCTGTGCAGAGGGCCAAGCACCAGCACCAGCACCAGCCTGGGCGGGCTGGAGTAGCTCAGTGGAGTCAACTGAGGGTTAACTCTTGGTTTGGGCAAATCAGGGCTAAGTTTCAACCTTTTCCTAGTGCTTTGCAAGAAAATTATAGGAATTTTAGTTCTAAAAACTTGTAAGCACTCACACGTGCAAAGAACCCCCCAGAAATGGAGGAAGGGAAAACCAGGCAGGAAAACGAATGAAAATCAGCACATTTTGTCCAATCATTGATGTGGAAAATGAAGATTTCTAGAAGGCTGAGAACACGTAGGCTCTGTCCGTATCTGCTGACAGCCCTCACCCTGGTGTCTCATGGGGAGACGCTAGTGCCACACTGAGATCCCCCCTCGTGGGCATCTTTGGCAGGGCTGCCTGGCTGCGCCATTACCTTCACAGATGAGCAGGATGTTGTTGTAGCTGAATCCAATGGGACACTCGCACCTGAAGCTGCCAATCTGGTTGATGCAGACACCATTGGTGCAGATAGCAGGGATCTCACTGCACTCATCAATATCTGCACACAGACAACATCTCTCAGCATCCCGGGAAGGCAGCAGGGAGGAAAGCAGCCCCCATAGCTGGGAGGCTGCTGCCCTCCTGCATTCTAAAAAGCAAATGAGCAGGAAAGGGCCACCAGACAAACAGTGGAGCAACTGCTGGAGCATTGATGGATCCTGCAGGTCATGCCAGGCTAGGGCTGCTCTGCAGAGGTCTGGGTACACAACAGAGCAATGCAAGTCTATGGGGTTGCTGACAGAGCCTGCACAGCACGTGTTGGGAGGGATCCTAACCAAGACATTCACCTTGTTTTCTCCAAGCACATCTCTGTGTAACATAGAACCTTGCTCAGGCTCTGGGACCAGGCTGCAGATGGGAAGTCCAGTGGGTCACTGGAATAGTGAGATGGCTCCGGGTCCCTGACTCTGTTGCTGTGCCCAGCACAGCCCAGCACCAGCCCTGCACTGATACTCTCTGTTGTACTTTCTCCCTGGGAGCAGAAGATGACCTCATCTCCCTCCTGTTCAGTCCTCCGGCTGGCACTGCAAGGCCAGGTGAAGCAAGGATTACCTGATCTGTCTCACAAGCTACCAGTGGGTCCATCTGTCAAGACTTCAACTGCACTGTAGACAGCCCACAAATCCCAGGGCTTTAACAGCTCCTCTGGCTTTCCATCTACCAAAACACAGACCTGAAACCTTGGCTCTCAGCAGTGTCCTGCTGTGGCAGGGCCGGTGCTGCTGGCAGTGTGAGTGTCAAGGATCTGGATCTACGTGACCACTTGAGTCTCCAGGTTGGACAGAAACCAAGGCACAGTTGCAAATGTGGGAAGGTCTGAGCAGCTCAGCCACTTAGGACATAGACTTGAAGGCTTAGCCAGCTGCTTGCACCCATGTTTGCCACCTCTTGTCCCCCTCTGCCCAGGACTTAATTTACTAAGGTATGGGAAGGGAACAAGCTCACAGACACTGTAGGAAGAAAGCAGAGGGGCAAAGAGCAGACCTGCCTCCCAGGCACAGGGGCTCTACTCACCGATCGGCTTTCCTGTGTGGATGTCGATGATAAAGCCGGGGGCCTGGTTCCCACACAGGATCTGGTACTCAGCTGAAAGAGGAACATCAAGGTCATGGCCATGCCTGGTGCGCACAGCGGGGTGCAGCAAGGGACGAGACGGATAAAGGCCGACTATGGCTGGAGTTATCAGATGGGGTCTGACAGGCAAGAGACACACATCCTGTGTTCAGCTCTGGGCCCCTCACTACAGGAGAGACATTGAGGTGCTGGAGCGGGGCCAGAGAAGGGCACCGGAGCTGGAGCAGGGCCTGGAGCACAAGTGTGATGGGGAAGGGCTGAGGGACCTGGGGGTTTAGTGTGGAGAAGAGAAGGCTCAGGGGGGACCTGATCGCTCTCTGCAACTGCCTGACAGGAGGATGGAG